CAGGCCCAAGGCTGAAGCCGGACAAACACTCCCTGATAACAACTGTGTGATGACTATTCTCCCCATCCCATGCAAGGCCACCTGGATTGGCTGGAGGACTGTTTACTTAGCCTGATAGGGCGAAGGACACTGTCTCAGCTGAACTATGGACATGCACACACACACACTTACACTGATAAGCACTCACTCATCTCCCCTTCCCTTTCCAACGCCTTCGATGCTTGTTACCTCCTGGGAACACGAGGCGGGTCTGGGCCCGCGCTGGCGAGTCGGCGCAGTGGCAGGATGGCTGCTGTGTTGCCTGGGATTACTCCTTATCCCCTACCCAACCCTGTTGCTGGTCACGTGCTCTATAATGTTGTACTGTGGAAATTTATGTGCTTTTCTGTGCAGAGGAGTTTTTTTGTTTCCTGTTCTCATGCTGTCCTCCCAGGAGCCCAGCATGAGTAGAAGTCTCTTTTTTTCCTCTTGTACTTTTTCCCATTGTAGTGTACATTTCAGTGTTTTTTCTGTATTGCAACCGTTCTCTGACTTGTATCCCCATGTGATGTCTGTGTTGTGTGTGTAAGGTCGGGGGGCGGGTTCATTCCACTGCAGGGAACCTACCACTGCATGTGGCGAATAAAATTTGAACTTGAACTTGAACTTGAACTTGAATAAAGCAAAACAACTTTAAGGTTTTGAGTGGCTCATGATCAGAGTTACAGGAAATCATTCCAATGACACTGAGTCACTGCTGTTTAGTTCATTCAGACTACGTTGGAACATAGCTGCCCTGATACAGCGCGGGGAATAATGATTTCATCTCCTGCTGAATCTGTTTGTTTCTCTAATTTTTATGGAAGTTGTATTTTAAGAGCGATACAACCAAAAATCCAGAAAAAAAAAACACATAACATAGAAGTTATAAATTGCTTTTAATGCATTTGATCTCCAAGCAAAACATGACTTAGTACTTGGTGGAGAAACAGCTGCTTCTGCACAGCAGTGTGATGTTTCTTGTAGGGGGTGGGGGGGAGGGGGTACTGTGGGTACTGCAACACTTTAGTCCATTATGGTGCAATGTGCTACCAATGATGTTCTTGGCCTTCAGATCAGATCAGGTGTAGTTTTGGGTAGATCCACCACTCATAAGATGAGATCTTGCATGGAGCTCCAGACTATGATGCTCATCTGATGCTGACGTCCTAAGACAGCTCTTTGGTCTTCTCTGAGGTGTGAAGAGGTTAGAATGGATGAAACTGATTCTGTGGACAGGTGTGTGTTATACACACCAATAGCGATTTGGGATCAGGAGGATCTGTAAGTGACTGATTGACTGAAGTCTGTGTGCCACATGGGTTAAAAGCCAGTCTGTAGGAACGTGAAGTCTGACTGGTTTATTTCACACACTGATATGTAAATCATTGTATAATTTTTTATCTAATGCCTTTCCTCCATCAAAAACTAGCATAAAAATCTGTCTGTGAAGGTACTCAGTCATCCAGGTCATCGTAGTCTTTCCAAGCTCCTTAGACTACCATAAAAATCGGAGACTGTTCATTTTTCTGTAAGTAAGCAACTCAGCCGGGATTAAATAGTTATTTCCTCCACTCTGTGTGCCGAGAAGCATTTGAGGATATCTACCAGGTAGTGAGACGTCGCGTGAGGGCGGTTTTAAAGCTGTGATATTATCTCAGTTCTTCAGAAGCTTTGAGCAGCGCAGCTTTCAGGGCGACCCTACATATACTGTGTTATGTAAGGGATAATGTACAGTGAAGTCAAGGTCACACTGTGAAGAGGATTAGTTTGAAATCATAATCCATCTTAAGGAACCAAATATATTGTAAGGAGACCCGATGCACGCACATCATAGCCGGACAGTTTTTTAAGCAGCAAACATCAGTCGAGCAACCAGCTACTAAAAATCACTTCTACACCTACTATTTCGAGATGATTCATCAACAAAGTAGATCAATAATTAGCAAAATAAAGTCACCCAGAAACCAAATGGACTCAGTCGATGTTGATAAATGAGAGTCTACATTTGTCGAGTTACTCGGCTTGAACAGAAACTGACCAACACATTGGGACCACCGACTCTTTCCCACCATCCCAGATGAGTCTGTTTTTTTGTTTATTGTATTGTAACTGTTAGATGTTACCTGAGGGCCATATTGGAGTCTCCACCTTTCTCAAAGGTCATCTTTTTCTTTTTTCCAGACTTCAGAAACTTAGCACAAAACCACAAAAAACATGGAAGCCTCTTCATGACAGCTAAAAGAAACATAGGTTCTCAGCAGCTGTTTCATAAACCGAAATAAACTTGGTGTGTAGACCCGGCACTCTATCTGCTGTTAACAATGAAGCGTGAGTTGAGCACGTTTTTCCAATCAGTGCTTAAATCAGGTGACCAGCAGGCTTCGTTAAAAAATTAAGCCAGCGTGAACGTGCCCAAGCCTGCAGCTCCTTTAAAGGCCACTCAGTGAACATTGTTGGAAATCAAAGAAAAGGGCAGACTTCCATCAAATATGAATTCTGCAAACATTAATCTCCTGCTAAAACCAGGCAAAGACCCTGTATATCCCTCAAGCTATCGTCCAATATCCTTTATAAATGTAGACCTTAAAATAATCTCCAAAGCTCTCTCAAAGAGACTGGAAAAAATAACCCCCCTCTTAATTCATCCTGACCAAACTGGTTTCATAAAAGGTAGGCGCAACAAATACACGTAGATTACTTAATTTGATAGACTACTCATACAGTAGAAACATCGAAACTACAATATTTTCTTTAGATGCAGAAAAAGCGTTTGACAGAGTTAACTGGAAATTTCTATTTGCAACTTTACACAAATTTGGTTTTGGATCCTCTTTCATTAACTGGTTAAAAATATTATATAATTCCCCAACAGCTTGTGTCAAAACAAATGACCAAACATCCTCCAGCTTCTGTCTCCTGAGGGGCACCAGGCAGGGATGCCCACTCTCCCCGTCACTGTTTGCAATTTTTATTGAACCACTAGCAGCAGCAATTAGACAGAATACAGTAATTAAGGGCATAAAATGCAAGAACGTGGAACATAAAATCAGCCTTTATGCGGATGATGTGTTACTTTTTCTCCAAAACTCACAAACCAATATCTCTGGGGTGATTGAATTGAAAAACTTCTGGTCTCAGATTTGCTTAAAAACCTTTCATTTAATTAGAAATCCCAGTCTTCAATTAATTCAATACAAAATACTACATAGAGTGCACTATACAGGTCATCGGATGTTCAAGATGGGCTTTACGTCTACCAACAACTGCTCACACTG